ATATATATATATATATATATATATATATATATATATATATGATTAAAAAAAGGGTTTTGCAAAAATCAATATATGTGGTCAATTATGATTGGGCTATATTATTAATTAAATTATTTAAGAGGTAAGGACTCAAATAAGTAACTGAACTTTGACTAAAAACTTATATATGTCTAATGCCATCCGTAGTGGCGCAGCTACAGTCAGTCTAGGTTGGACAACCTTCATCGGAAATTACATTGTATGTATATCAAATTTTACATTTAAATGATATATATTTAAAATTGGACATGATAAAAGTTATGCCTTTGGTATAATGGTAATAACTAATAAGTGTTCATTTGAATGAAGGACCTTCGGATTTAAACTTCAAATAACACAATATTTTTTATTAAAATTTTAATAATTACACACTATTATTTTCGGACACCCTAAATTTCTGTCGATAAGCTAAACTTTTAAATATAAATGAACCTTTACTCAGAGTTTGATGACATATTTGAATTTTTTCTTTTAAAATATTATTTATCACTATTTCAAACGCTGATATATTATTACATGACTAGATTCAAATTTTTGTTTGATTTGATGTTGTTCTTTTTGCAATGACATTTTGTAGATTTATATCAATAAAATAACTGTCTCAAATTAAAAGTGTAAAATGTCTGGATAATTATTCTTTTCAAAGCAATATAAAATTAACAAAGACCCATTTTGTCAATATATTGCGACGTTTGAAAGAATATTATTTTGTGATTAAAATATGACATTTTTAATTTACAACTTTAACCTCTATACAATAGGAACTACCCAATATTGTATTAGACAGAAAAATTTTAACAAATAGATAACAATTTAAATTGGCCAAGAAAATCAAATAATTGAAATTCTTGCTTTTAAATTGGTCAAAAAAAGTCAAGCAATTAAAATCTATGCTTTTAAATTGATTAAGAAAGTCAAATAATTAAAATCTTTGCTTTAAAATTTATTAAGAAAGTCATATATTTAAAATCTTTGCTCTAAAATTTATTAAGAAAGTCATATATTTAAAATCTTTTCTTTTTAATTTGTTAAGAAAGTTAAATATTCAAATCCTTTGCTTTCTTCATCTCCTTAACACTAATGATACTCTTATTATTGTTCTATTTAATATATAATATTAATTTCAAGTTTGTTAACTTCAATTGTTGACGGCAGTTTAAATTTGTAATTCTTAATTTTTTATTTACTCTAAAATGTATTTGTATTTTTTAAGATCCGTATCACTCATTCTCGCAAATCATAAAATATATAATAACTGAATAATAGCATCACTTTGAAAAAAAAATTCTAATACTCAAAATAATCAGACATATCATTTTTTATTATAATTCATTATAAGGAAACAACATCCAAAATAATATTATTGTTTGGATATACTATTATTGAAATTTATAATTAAAGACTCAACCAATTAGGTGGTATAGTTGAAGAACTAGCTATGTCCATTTCAACTATAAATTTTGGATCTTCAAAGCATATGGCATTTTGTAAGAGATGAATTTCCTTATTCAAATGATCTTCAAGTTTCTCGATCTCCCGGTTTAATTTTTTAAGCCTTTCTGATTCTGTCAGCTTTGAATCTTCTGATATACGATATGTAATATTATTTTCAACAGATTTTCCTTTATCCTTATTTTTTTCCACCTTTTTTTTCTTCTTCGTATAAGACGAAGGTGTAGTTGGTTGGTTGAGCTCCAAATATTGGTGGACCACTGAGTCCACG